TGATCCCTTTTACGAATGCACTTTTGCGTGAGTACTTTTGTGCATGCCTTTATATACTTACTTATGTGCGTATCTTTCTAGCGACAGTTTTTGTGCACGTTTCTCGATGCGCATTCATGTCCTCGAACTGTAGTACGTATTTTCATGATTACTTTTGGAATCCAATTTTGACCTTGTTCGAGTCCGAATTTGGATTTTTCAAGTTAGACAGGAATTGTAGCCAGCTGAAATAGCTTTCTAATGCCGCCGGAACTAGTTGATTTGGAGTCCAGATGAGAAAGTTATGCTCGACTTCGTGGACGTACACTACCAAAGATGTTGAGGGATTCTCTCTTCTAATTTCATTTTATTTTCCTAATTGCAACTCTTTTCTTTCTCTTTGATCATTTTTGCTTCTGGACACCTAATTTTCGATTTGTACCTATGAGATACCAAATCCACCAATTCAAACAGAAAATAAATTAATCCAAAACAAAAATCCACGTAAACGTAAACGTAAACGTAGAGTTTTATTTCTACACTCCACTGTACCTATTTGATCTAGTGTTTTTGCTGTTGTTTGTTGATGCGTCTTAAAGTCCTAGTATTGTAGTTCGTGTTTTGAAGAATGTTGTTGCGAATGCACTTTTGCGCGTGTTTTTTTACATGTACGTTTGTGCATGTCCATTTGAGCGAGTGTGCTTGTGCATTTTTGTTGATTTGTATTAATGCCCTAGGATTGTAGTTTGTGTTTTCATGATCCTTTTTACGAATGCACTTTTGCGTGAGTACTTTTGTGCATGCCTTTATATACTTACTTATGTGCGTATCTTTCTAGCGACAGTTTTTGTGCACGTTTCTCGATGCGCATTCATCTCCTCGAACTGTAGTACGTAATTTCATGATTACTTTTGGAATCCAATTTTGACCTTGTTCGAGTCCGAATTTGGATTTTTCACGTTAGACAGTAATTGTAGCCAGCTGAAATAGCTTTTTAATGCCGCCAGAACCAGTTGATTTGGAGTCCGGATGAGAAAGTTATGCTCGACTTCGTGGACGTACACTACCAAAGATGTTGAGGGATTCTCTCTTCTAATTTGATTTTATTTTCCTAATTGCAACTCTTTTCTTTCTCTTTGATCATTTTTGCTTCCTGGACACCTAATTTTCGATTTGTACCTATAAGATACCAAATCCACCAATTCAAACAGAAAATTAATTAATCCAAAAAAAAATCTACGTAAACGTAAACGTAGAGTTTTATTTCTACACTCCATTGTATCTATTTTATCTAGACTTTTTGCTGTTGTTTGTTGATGCGTATTAAAGTCCTAGTATTGTAGTTCGTGTTTTGAAGAACGTTGTTGCGAGTGCACTTTTGCGCATGTTTTTTTACATCTACGTTTGTGCATGTCCATTTGAGCTTGTGTGCATGTGCATGTTTGTTGATTTGTATTAATGTCCTAGGATTGTAGTTTGTGTTTTCATGATCCTTGTTGCGAATGCACTTATGCGTGAGTACTTTTGTGCATGCCTTTGTATACTTACTTATGTGCGTATCTTTCTGGCGACAGTTTTTGTGCACGTTTCTCGATGCGCATTCATGTCCTCGAACTGTAGTACGTATTTTCATGATCGCTTTTGGAATCCAATTTTGACCATGTTCAAGTCCGAATTTGGATTTTTCACGTTAGACAGGAATTGTAGCCAGCTGAAATAGCTTTCTAATGCCGCCGGAACCAGTTGATTTGGATTCCGGATGAGAAAGTTATGCTCGACTTCGTGGACGTACACTACAAAAGATGTTGAAGAATTCTCTCTTCTAATTTGATTTTATTTTCCTAATTGCAACTCTTTTCTTTCTCTTTGATCATTTTTGCTTCCTGGACACCTAATTTTCGATTTGTACCTATAAGATACCAAATCCACCTATTCAAACAGAAAATAAATTAATCAAAAAAAAAATCCACGTAAACGTAAACGTAGAGTTTTATTTCTACACTCCACTGTATCTATTTGATCTAGTGTTTTTGCTGTTGTTTGTTGATGCGTATTAAAGTTCTAGTATTGTAGTTCGTGTTTTGAAGAACGTTGTTGCGAATGCACTTTTGCGCATGTTTTTTTACATGTACGTTTGTGCATGTCCATTTGAGCGAGTGTGCTTGTGCATGTTTGTTGATTTGTATTAATGTCCTAGGACTGTAGTTTGTGTTTTCGTGATCCTTTTTGCGAATGCACTTTTGCGTGAGTACTTTTGTGCATGCCTTTGTATACTTACTTATGTGCGTATCTTTCTAGCAACATTTTTTGTGCACGTTACTCGATGCGCATTCATGTCCTCGAACTGTAGTACGTATTTTCATGATCGCTTTTGGAATCGAATTTTGACCATGTTCGAGTCCGAATTTGGATTTTTCATGTTAGACAGGAATTGTAGCCAGCTGAAATAGCTTTCTAATGCCGCCTGAACCAGTTGATTTGGAGTCCGGAAGAGAAAGTTATGCTCGACTTCGTGGACGTACACCACCAAAGATTTTGAGGGATTGTCTTTTCTAATTTGAATTTATTTTCCTTATTGCAAATCTTTTCTTTCTCTTTCATCACTTTTGCTTCCTGGACACCTTATTTTCGATTTGTACCTATAAGATACCAAATCCACCAATTCAAAAATCACCTAAGAGCTTTCTCTAATTTTTGAATTTCTTGAAGGATTATCTAGTGGGTTGCAAATATCCACAAAGTTCTTCAAATTTGTAAAAGATCCTAAGGTAAGAATCATGGAATTCTTGCTACATCAAGCTAACATCAATAGTATTTCCTTCTCTTCTCTTTTTGAAAAACTCCCCTTCTTGAGTGTTTGAAGAAATCGAAAGTTTTATGAAATAAAGTGCTCAAAGTATGTTATATTATATGTTTAGTCTCATGCATGTTAAGATCCATGCTTGAATCCTTGATCTTTGATGAGAAAAATGATGATGATGATTGATATGTTTAATTCTGTGTTTAAGGCTTTGCATGTGAGAATCTAGCTCTTGATTCTTGATTCTTGAAAGAAAACAGAAGATTGGTGAGAAACCTGAAATTTGATGATTATATGTTATGAAATTTATTATCCTTATGGTTCTAATCATTGCATGTTAATATTATTGATTTACTAGTTGTGATCTTATATGTTTATGGTTTGGATTTGAGGCATCTAAGTTGATTGAGTCTAGAATCTTGAAATAGATGGTTATATGTAAAATTTACAGATTCATAGGTACGGATTTTAACCCATGTTTCACCAACGAGTTTATTTATGAAAACTACGAAATTTTATATGAGGATAGATATCTCTGTTATGTTGCTTGTAATTTTTGGAGTAGAAATAAATGAGTTATGAATTATTTACCGAAACTGTACAAAATTAGAGTTAGTTTAGAATTAGTAATGAAATCTAATGTTTTCCTCTTTCAAATTTAGTGATTCCACTTGGATTAGAACCCCAACTTAGAAAACTCATTTGAGATAATATTTGGCAGTGTTTGACATAGTAGATAATTTATAAGAAATTTTTGAAGTCTCCTCCCCTGTTCTGAGGTTTAAACAACACTACTGTACCATTTTATTTATTTATCCCAGATTCCTAAGTATTTTCTAAAACTGTTTTTCTGGGTTATATAAGACTGCTAACTGTATATGGAGTTAAAATTTTTAGCCGTGACTATATTCCGGTTAGTGGTTGATAGTTGGGGTCCACATAGGGGCCTGTCCACAAAGGGACTGATTCACATATGAATCGGGATTATAAACCACTAACTCGGCTATAGTAAACTTATAGCCGTGACTATAGTAAAGTTATAGATCACAAGCTCCAAAATACACGGCTTATTGCCGAACTCCACGATTGTTTTTTCCAAACGGGCCCAACGTTTTATCATGAAAAGTTTTAAAAGTCTAAAGTCTCATTTTCATGCATACTGCATATTAAAGTATAAAAAAGAAGGGTGTTAAGTACCCGACATTTGCATACTAAAGAAAAAAGAAAGAAGGGTGTTAAGTACCTGACTTTTCAAAGAAATGAAAGGATGTAAAGTATCCTTGAAAGATTTAAAGGCAAGGTAAAGGTAAGGTATAGTAAGTGTAAGTTTTGAATGATCGTAAGTTTATTATGTGTTCGTGTATGCCTATATATATATGTGTGTGTGTATATAAATTATGTGTAAAGACTTTTTTAAAACCTTGTTATTACTTCCGGATTCTTACTGAGTCTTTTTAAAGGCTCATATAGATGTTATCTTGGTGTAGGTAACTCATGATCCGAATCCGAGGACCAAAGTTGAACCAAGTTCGGGGAAAACCGAGGAATCGAGCCTTATGGAATTTATAAGGATTTAATTAACTTCCATTTTGGTACTTAAATCTTTTTAATGGATTGTAATCCGTAGTACTTCGATATGTTATCGGGAAACGATTTTAACCCTTATGTATAATATAATGTTTTCCGATTATTCTTGTTCTTTTCTAATGTTGATTTCTTAAGAGCTCCACCACAATCCGAATTTATTATTTGAAGCAAGAAAACGTTTAAAGGAAAATGTGGCACCGAATAAAGAGTGAAATTGTTTTGACAAAATCTATAAAGTGTTCGACTTCAAGGGTTTTTCAAGAAAGATTTTTTATCGAACGAAAATTGAAGCGAACCACTTCAAGTATTTTCAAAACTAGAGAAAACTTTACCACCTTTCTCTAGAGCTTTGTTTCGAAAAAAAACAAAACCGTATTTTTCAAAAGGTCTTCCGCTGCAACTTAATAAAAAAACCTTTATACCATTTTCCGGTATAGAGTGTAAAGTAAACGGGGTGCTACATGAGGTGGTATCAGAGCACCGATTTTGGGAAAATCCATACGAATCGATCAATCTCGGAACCTCCGGAACAAGGATCAATGATGCAAATCGGAGCGGTATGTAAGTGTTTAATTATGTATGTTATGTGTTTTATGTGATAATGTAGAATATTATTATTTTGTTTAGCATCACTATGTCGGGACGAAGGACTCGAAACACCAACCGTAATCACTACCCTACCGAAAACCCTCGTGACCAAATACCTACTATTCGAGACCTTACCGCTCTTATCCGAGAGCAAAACGACCAAATTAACCGTCTTGTCAACCTCCAAACCCGTGGTCGACAACCTACCCCTCCACCACCTCCTCCTCAAAATACGGCACCGCTGGCTATGTACGAACGGTTCTTGCGAATGAATCTGACAGAATTTCACGGTGGTTCAGACCCAACAATCGCCGAGGAATGGATCAAGTCACTCGAAGTGATTTTTGATTACATGGAAATGACGGATCGTGATCGAGTCCATTGTGCCTTGTTTTTGCTTAAGAATGAAGCTCGTCATTGGTGGGAAGGTGCCAAAGAAGGAATAGAATTAGCAAATATCGATTGGGCGACATTTAAAATCCGATTCTTCGAGAAGTATTTCACCAAGGATGTTCGTGCCCAGAAAATTAGAGAGTTTCTAGACCTGAAACAAGGAAATCAATCTGTTGCCGAATATGTTCGTAAATTCGAGCAAGGAGGCATCTATGCCTCCTTCATATCCAAAGATGCCGAAGAAAAGAAGAACCACTTTTTGCAAGGCCTTAATCCCGTGATTAGAAGAAATGTCCGTATGGCCTCTGCTTCCACTTACCGTGAAATGGTAGACAAGGCCCTCGTAGCAGCGCTAGATGAACAAGATATCCAACAATTCCGAAAGACAGAATCCTCCATTCACCGCCCGTGGAAAAAGCCAAACACCGAACCCAACGATGGACCCAACCAATCTAACGACAAAGAGAAGCAACCGATTATGAAGAATCTCCCGGCTCAACCAATGAAACCAATATGCCAGAAATGCGGGAAACCTCACTTTGGAGTTTGCGTCCAAGGAACTAATAATTGTTTCCGGTGTGGAAAACCAGGGCATATGGCCAAGGATTGCACTCAACCTCCGAACCGAGTACCTGGTAGAGTTTTCACAATGACCAAGAAGAACTCTGAGAACCTTCCATGGTAGCAGGTACTCCACTCACCTGCAGTAATCATGTTTATGCTCCAATCAATTAAGTGCCGACTCACCTGTTCACCTCAAAGTCACGATGTCTTCTACGTTTCGATGCAACCGTAGTACGTTCCCAACCCCAACCACATCCTTGAAACCAAACCAATTGGCCTATCCCTAGCCTTTCTTCTACCAAACAATCCATCCAAACACTCGATCAAAAGGCCAAACCGTAGATTGGAAATCCCAAAAGGAAATCACAAGTCGATTCCCGAATTTATTCAGGGTATGTAACAATTTTGAGGACAAAATTCTTTTAAGGGGGGGAGATTGTAACACCCCGCGTTTCCGATACCCGGTTTCCGTATTTTCCCTCTCGTCTTCTTTGCATGAATATGTGTTTTATGTGCGAATTTAATTAATTGCTTTTTAATTTGCTATATTTGCTATTTATGTGAATTTATGTGAACTAATGTGCATTATATGTCTACATGAATATTTTTGATTTTATTCTCTATTTGTGCAACTAAAATGTATTTCATGTGTTTAATATAATTGAACACCTGAAGTTATGTGATCTACGATGTTTAGTTTTCGTAGCATAAGAATTTATTTTCTCACACTAGAAAGTTTATATGCTTAATTGATAGTAATTTCCTCTCCTTTAAATTGGCTAGGATTGTATGTGTTGCATGCATACACTTATTCCATGTGCATTTCCACTTGGCCTTTCATTTAGCATTATTTTTAACAAAACTTAAATGAAATTGCCTAGAAGTCCCTCTAGATTATTTCAAGTTTCTCCTAATTGCAAAAAAGACCCCTCTTCATACTTACTCATTAAGAATACAAGCCTCTCCAATTCTATAAATACCACCCTCTCCTCTTCATTTCCACACACCAAAAATCAGCTAAGTCCCCTTCTCCTTCCCCCTCTCCATCGATCAAAATAGTCCAAGTAGAATAAGAAATCTCTTCTTCTAATTCAAGCCTTCCCCATTAAATCTCTTCCTTCTTCTTCATCTTCTTCTCGTTTGTTTCATTAATTCCTAGCTAGTATAGTTCTTCATCTCCAAAAGGAGATTCTTCAACCAAGAAGGGTAAGCAAATATTTGTTCTTTCCTTCTTTCTTCAATTTTCGAAAATCCCCTAAGAGCTTTCTCTAATTTTTGAATTTCTTGAAGGATTATCTAGTGGGTCGCAAATATCCACAAAGTTCTTCAAATTTGTAAAAGATCCTAAGGTAAGAATCATGGAATTCTTGCTACATCAAGCTAACATCAATAGTATTTCCTTCTCTTCTCTTTTTGAAAAACTCCCCTTCTTGAGTGTTTGAAGAAATCGAAAGTTTTATGAAATAAAGTGCTCAAAGTATGTTATATTATATGTTTAGTCTCATGCATGTTAAGATCCATGCTTGAATCCTTGATCTTTGATGAGAAAAATGATGATGATGATTGATATGTTTAATTCTGTATTTAAGGCTTTGCATGTGAGAATCTAGCTCTTGATTCTTGATTCTTGAAAGAAAATAGAAGATTGGTGAGAAACCCGAAATTTGATGATTATATGCTATGAAATTTATTATCCTTATGGTTCTAATCATCGCATGTTAATTTTATTGATTTACAAGTTGTGATCTTATATGTTTATGGTTTGGATTTGAGGCATCTAAGTTGATTGAGTCTAGAATCTTGAAATAGATGGTTATATGTAAAATTTACAGATTCATAGGTACGGATTTTAACCCATGTTTCACCCACGAGTTTATTTATGAAAACTACGAAATTTTATATGAGGATAGATCTCTCTGTTATGGTCATATTGATATGTGGCTTGTAATTTTTGGAGTAGAAATAAATGAGTTATGAATTATTTACCGAAACTGTACAAAATTAGAGTTAGTTTAGAATTAGTAATGAAATCTAATGTTTTCCTCTTTCAAATTTAGTGATTCTACTTGGATTAGAACCCCAACTTAGAAAACTCATTTGAGATAATATTTGGCAGTGTTTGACACAGTAGATAATTTATAAGAAATTTTTGAAGTCTCCTCCCCTGTTCTGAGTTTTAAACAACACTACTGTACCATTTTATTTATGGCTGCGGCTATATGCAATACTCATTCCACTTGTGCAAGACCAAATTAAAGAAAGATTCCAAAAGATTCTATTTTATTAAGATGGAATGACAAGTATGCCCATAAATTAAATTGGCTTTTTTTTTCTCATGTAAGACCAAATACAAATAATGAGAAAAAAACAAAAATCGACACCAAGGTGTCGAAAAACTATGCTACAAATCGACACTTAAGCGTCGAATTTCATAGGTTAAAATCGACATTGACATGTCGAATTTGTTGCACAAAATCAAATTTCGAATTTTATACCTCAAAATCGACATCTTAGTGTCGAATTTTATACCTCAAAATCGACATCTAAATGTCGATTTTTACCTGTAAAATTCGACCTGTACATGTCGAATTCGTTTGCGCGGGATTTTTTTTGGAAAATCGATATTCTAGCTAAAAAAACCCATAAATGCATACATTCTTGGGTTCTTCCATCGTAGAATCTTCTATTTTGATGTCTTCTGACTCCATACTTGCCATCCTTGTAAGATTTGTTGAGTTTTGATGATTTTGAATTTCTAGGTTTTGTGGGTTAATGGAGGAGGAAGGAGAAAGGACTTGTGAGTTTTGGAAGATGGAGAAGATGATAGTTGGTCTTGTGGTTTTGTGGTCTTGTGATAGGGATTTTTGTGTTTTTTAATTTTTGGTCTTGCATATTTGGAATTTTTATTTTTTTAATAAATAAGGGTATTATAGTATTTATACATTGAAAATTTTAATTTGGTCTTGCACAAGTGGAATTAGTCTTGTATATAGCCGCAGCCTTTATTTATTTATCCGAGATTCCTAAGTATTTTCTAAAACTGTTTTTCTGGGGTATATAAGACTGCTAACTGTATATGGAGTTAAAATTTCAAAAGGTTTGGATGAATCAGTAAAGCAAAATGAATTTTTAAAGTCACTCCCTCTATTCAGATCTCAAAACTGTACCACCTTAGAAATTTATTTATATCTTTTACTCCGATGATGATTTTTATAAACTGTTTCTCAGTGATTTTAAGGACATATAAAGGAGTATTTTGTAAAAGTTTCAAAGGCTTTTGATTTGTGGATCAAGAGAAATGATTTTTCAAAGTGAGGATACCAAAACTGTTTGATTTTCTTAAGATGACTATTTTTATCAAAGTATGATTTGTGATCATGGTTCTAATATCCGAGGTAGGAAAGATAAGTTAGTGATGAAGGTGAAACCTCTAAGTTATGTCCTAATAATCTAAGTTTAGGTATCTTGTTGCATGTCCTAAGAAAGAATTACAATCCACTAGCCTAGAATGGTGTTAAGGAGCAAGTACCATATTTAGAAAAATGATTAATTGATTTCTATGATAAGTTAGAATACTTGATTGATTTCGTAAATTATTTGTTATTATGTGTTGCACTTTTGAAATAATGGTGTATGTATTAAGTGATTAGAGTAAAGTAATGTCGTATGTGATAATTTTCATAATTCATGATATGAGTGATATTGATATGCTATGAATGACATGGTTATATGATTATGTGATTATAATTTGGTTAAAGTTGAAGAATGCCCTTCTTGGTGCTACTATGTGATATTAAATGTTTATGTGTGCTTATGAAATTAAATGTGAAAGTAAAAGTGCTATGTTCTATATGATTATGTGTTAAATTATTTGATTAAGGATGTGAAATATAATTGTTGTGGTGCTTGTTACCTTTATGCTTGTTTATGTGAAAGTAACATAGATAGATCATGTAAGCATCATATGATTCATTAGTAAGTCTAAGATGCATAAATCACGACTTTTCAAAGTTAAAAATGTCTGGAAATTGGTTGTGGATCTAGGTGAATAAGTATGGGATACGGGGGGCTGGTATTCCGTTAGTGGTTCATAGTTGGGGTCCACATAGGGGCCTGTCCACATAGGGACTGATTCACATAGGAATCGGGATTATAAACCACTAACTCGGCCATAGTAAAGTTATAGCCGTGACTATATTCCGGTTAGTGGTTGATAGTTGGGGTCCACATAGGGGCCTGTCCACAAAGGGACTGATTCACATAGGAATCGGGATTATAAACCACTAACTCGGCTATAGTAAACTTATAGTTGTGACTATAGTAAAGTTATAGATCACAAGCTCCAAAATACACGGCTTATTGCCGAACTCCACGATTGTTTTTTTCCAAACGGGCCCAACGTTTTATCATGAAAAGTTTTAAAAGTCTAAAGTCTCATTTTCATGCATACTGCATATTAAAGTATAGAAAAGAAGGGTGTTAAGTACCCGACATTTGCATACTAAAGAAAAAAGAAAGAAGGGTGTTAAGTACCTGACTTTTCAAAGAAATGAAAGGATGTAAAGTATCCTTGAAAGATTTAAAGGCAAGGTAAAGGTAAGGTATAGTAAGTGTAAGTTTTGAATGATCGTAAGTTTATTATGTGTTCGTGTATGCCTATATATATATGTGTGTGTGTATATAAATTATGTGTAAAGACTTTTTTAAAACCTTGTTATTACTTCCGGATTCTTACTGAGTCTTTTTAAAGGCTCATATAGATGTTATCTTGGTGTAGGTAACTCATGATCCGAATCCGAGGACCAAAGTTGAACCAAGTTCGGGGAAAACCGAGGAATCGAGCCTTATGGAATTTATAAGGATTTAATTAACTTCCATTTTGGTACTTAAATCTTTTTAATGGATTGTAATCCGTAGTACTTCGATATGTTATCGGGAAACGATTTTAACCCTTATGTATAATATAATGTTTTCCGATTATTCTTGTTGTTTTCTAATGTTGATTTCTTAAGAGCTCCACCACAATCCGAATTTATTATTTGAAGCAAGAAAACGTTTAAAGGAAAATGTGGCACCGAATAAAGAGTGAAATTGTTTTGACTAAATCTATAAAGTGTTCGA